CAGCAGACAGTACAGAGGGTGAGATAACATCTCTTGCCAAAAAGTGTCACCAGCAGGATAATTTTGTGATGTGGTTTGCTTAATTCCTCTCTCTCTCTCTCTCTCTCTCTTTCTGCTTCAAGTGAAGGTTTAAGATTTACAGAATCTCTTGGGTGTTTCAGTGAAGTTCAGCGTGCTGAACTGGAAGTCTGCAATGACAGCACTTACCTGCCTCTTAATAAACAAGTAAAAATTTGGACTTAAAGTAAGTTGGCCAACGGTAGAGCCATGAGACAACTTCTTTCCCTTTGCTAGTTTCTGCTGTCAGTTCACACTTGCAAATGCTGTGGTTTCTCTATTACTTACTACCCTTCCTGTGAGAGCACTGTAGCAAGCCCAGCATTAATCGTTGAATCTAAACATTTCTGAAAAATCGTCCTTTTTCTTTCTAAATAAATACTGACAATTAAAAAAAAAAAAGTTAAGCAGATCTGCTTCTGAAGAGGAGTGGAGTGTCTGCCTTAACATCTCTGTCCCAAGAAAAGAAAAACATGCTCAAAGCTGAAGGCCACGATGGCTTTGGAGACATTTGTAGCTTGAGTAGCTCTTTTAAGACCAGCTTTTCTGCTCTCCAAGAGTCACAGTACAAGTGTGCTGAAAAATGTAACGTGTGCCCAATGGCCTGACTCATTTCTCAGCCACAAGCTATGAGAGTTGAGGGCAATGTCCTGGTAAGAAGCCAGCAGCTTCGAAGGTTGAAAAGAGGAGGGGGTTGGGATTCCTCTCAATGTGCTGTCTTTAGTTTCTGCTCTTGTGTCAGCCCTTCGAGGATATCTGAAGCCTTCGAGCTTTTCGTATGTTTTCTGCAGCGCCTTGGATTCCCTAGGATGTTGAAGGAAGCCACACTATTTCTGTGTCTTCCCAGTTTCTTGGCTGCTTTTCAGTGTGTTTACATTTTGTAGAAAAGGATAGCATAGTTTTGCCTATTGCCAGGGAAAGTTTGGTACTGGCATTTGCCACTGGCTTATATTTATAAATGTGATGGTAAACCATTTTAATCGACTAAAAAAAAGTTCCTTTAAATGATACTGGGAAGTGTATTTTTCTCTTAGTCATGATGTGGAGACACAATACAATATAAACACATTTTCCAGTAAGGAGAAAGGATATTTTCATTACCGGCTCCTGAAGAGATTGTTCCTGTTTTTTTATTTAATTTCTCTCTCCTTCTCATCCAGGTTTAAGGTCCTTCTCCAAATGTATATAGCTAACTAACAATAGTGTTAGTGAGGTTTCTTTAGTCTTATGGAAGCATTTCTTTTAGCCTGCACAGAGTCAGTTAGCATCAAACGCTTTCTGAGCAGCACCCTTTTGATCTGTCAGGAAACTCCTACTCTCTAACTAGCTGTTAGGGGTTTTTTTTTTTTTTGGGGTTTGAGGCAAGGGTTGATCTTTATCAGGTATTTTGATGACTGTTCATCAAAGTTCTTGAGTTATGCTATTTTTTGCCAGCTGGTATAAATACCTGGGTGTGCTGTGAGCGCTACAGACACATTTGACCTGCCATGCAATATTTGTTTGCAGACATAAAAATATATATATTTTCTAGCCAGCCACATTTCATCATAAGCAATCTTGCTGTTCCGAGGCACCATTTTGTATTTCCTTTTGAACTGCTGGACACTGCGGTCTACAATGTTAGAAAGTACTGAGAGGGATACTCACCCTGCCCCCCTTTGACTTGTTGCTACAGTGGTACAGAGTCTCTGTCAGAAGGCTTGGATTTCTTACCTTTGCCAGAATTGCATGGGTATAATTTGGGGCATAATTTGAGTGTCGTGAGGGTTGTGCAGGCCACCCTGTGAGTAGACCATAGGCTCAATGACGGAAATGGAAAGATTCCCACCCGTTTCGGTGGTGCTAGCGACAGAATTCTGTCTCCTTCTCTCCCTTATCCATGACAGTTATGAAGACCCGATGGGAGTAAAATATAGAAAAATTACACGTTATTTACACATGTGCGTGTGTGTGCACACAAACAACAGGCAGGTTGAATCCTAAATACATCCAGGGAGCAGACCTGCTGACTAAGAAGGTGCCTTGTTTACGTAGTCGCTTAGCAAGAACTAGACCAAAACAGGCCTTTTTTAGGGTTGCTGTGGTACCGGGATTAAAGTGGCTTGCTACAAATTCAGATATGTGAATTTGAGCCTTGCTTTAGCCTGATGATTTCCCCAAAGAGTATGCTGTGGCGTACTAGCGTGCCATGAGAGCAGCAGAAGTGTGTCATGAAAAATGCATGCCCGAAAGCTTGCAGAAAAAGATAATTTTGTTGTGATTTCTTTGTTGGTCTAGTAAAACATATCCTCTCTGAACCAAGAGTTCTAGAGTTTTGCATTTCATGAAAAATTATACTTTCTCAGTATCGGATCTGGTCTTCGGGGTTCCCCATAGGTCTCATAGGACCTCGGTCCCATAGGATTGGGCTCCAGCCATGCCAGTCCCATGTGGTGAGATCAGGCCCACGGACTGGATATGGCTAGCAGACCTACTCAGCATTGTTCATCAAGCCCAAAAGTTGGGCACCATTGTGCATGTCATATACACCTTTTAGTAGGGTGTAAGAGTGAAGTGTTCCACCAATTTTAATCCAGAAAAAAGTGTGCCCCAGGTATCAAAAAGTTGGGAAACACTACTCTAGCCTCATTTCAAAGGTCACCTCTGTTGGACCCTGCTGTAAGTGAGTATCTGATCCTTTGGGCAGGGGGGTTGAATGTGTCCATATGAGGTGCTAGCCATCTCACTCCCTTGTGCACCACTAACTATAGCAAGTGGCATATGGCAATTATTTCAGTTGGAGGGCCACTTCATGGCTTTTGGTGAGCTTTTGAGGGCTGCAACAGTAGACCTACCCCTTGACAGGTGCCCCATTCCCTGATCACCATCTTGGGACCAGAAGTCCCACTTCTAACCCCAGACCTTTGCCACTGGATGTTCCTCCCTTTACCCTGGAAGTACTCCTTTTGGGAGGCGGGGTTTGCCATCTTAGAACCAGAAAAAAATTTCATATGCTATAAATCAAACATCTACTATAACTTATTTAAAAAAAATAGTTTTGTCCAGATTTACTTGTGTTTCTATAGTGTATATAGAGGTGATTGCATAATAGCTCAAAATAAAGTCTTATTCTTGTATATTGTGTGGGGTATGGTTGGGGGGATGGGTGTGGAGTATGTGCTTGTGTATGCTGGCAGAGCCTCCTGGCGGTGCACAGCTTTGGCTGAAACCTGGGAGCTGTGCTTCGCAGCATGGAGCCCACCTGGCCTGGCCTGCTGGCATGCGCTTTCAAGCCAAACCAGGCTGGCTCCTGGCTGCCAGCACATGGGGCTCCTGGCACTGGAGATGGGAGCCATGCACCATCGGGCCAAGCAGGGTAAGCTCTGTGCCCCCACGTGGGGCTTCAATTGGGGAGCTGCATGTGGAGGCACAGAACCAGCCCAGCCTAATGGCGTGTGGACCAGGAGCCACAGGGAGTTGCGCATCATTGGGCCAGGCTGGCTCCATGTCTCCACGAGTGTTTCCCTACTGGAATGCTGGAAGCCCCATGTAGAGGCATGGAGCTGGCCCGGCTTAGCCTGATGGCACAAGGCTCCCGCCTGCAGTGCCAGGAGCCCCGCGTGCTGGCATGGGGCCAGCCTGTTCTGGATTGAAGGCTCCCTCCAGCGGGTCAGGCTGGGCAGGCTCTGTGCTGCCATGTGCAGCTCCCAGGATTCAGCTGGAGCTGCACACTGCTGGGGGGCTCTGCTTGCCGTGGGCCATGAGCACACCGAACGTACATGGTCTGTTGCTGCTTCCACCAGTGGTGGGGTCTGTGAGCTATGGGGGTGGTGGTGGGGGGGGCACCCACAAACCCCACTCTCACCCACCCCCTCCTGCAGGCAGGACCTTCCCTCCTCACTCACCAGCTGTCTAGTCGTGCACCATCATGCTCGGTGTTTCCACATGGGGCTCCCAGTTGGACTGCTGAGAGCCCCACAAAGGTGGAAGCACAGAGCCCACCCAGCCTGATGGTGCACAACTTCCGAAAGCTCGCCTCGCACTGGATTTTGGAGGGGCAGCCGTGAGCTGGCAATAACTGCATTTTGGAGGGGCCCTGCGGGCCAGATAGAATGGCCTGGTGGGCTGAATTTGGCCCGTAAGCTGTATCTTGCCCACCCCTGTGTTAACCACCGTAACCTAATGGGTTGCCTAGGCTTCTGTAGACCTCTGGCTGCAGAGTCAAGCTACTTTCAAGTGGTGTTTAAAGCCTTGTGAACTGGGTTAGATTTTTTTTCTGCTCAGCAGTCAGTACGATAACTTTGAACACAGCTGATTTAAACGGACCATGGACTCTTGCCCAGGATCAGTTATAATCACATTTTTATTGCACTTTAAACATACCAGGAAAAAATTCAGAGCAGTATTTTAGAAGCTGTATGTTTTACTTTTGTTGGTGGTGATTTGGCATTGGAAAGTACAACGTGCACAAACTGCAGATCTGGTTAAAATGTGAAGTCACTGTGAAAATAAAGGAAGAAGCTCCAGTTCCTTCTCATCTATAAATACCAGCTCGTGCCCTGTGGTTTTGTTGAACGTACAGCAGCAGCAACACTGAAAGTGTTGGAGCTCTCACTTGGGATATACTCTATATTGGTTATGCAGTATTGTCAAGTCTTGTAATTTTAATGTAAGCCTTATAATATTGGTTGTTTCTCTGGATATCTCATGGCTGAAATCAAGCAATTGCATGTGAAACACAGCCTCTTTCTACATTTAAAAAATTTAGCTTGCAAAATTGTGGAGTAGGCTTAAAAATGTGAAGGAAGAAAGCCCAAAAGATCCAGAAATAAGAAAAAAAAAATCCAATTTTTTTGGTTGTATGACAGTGAACGCGCCTATATATGATGCTTGAGTGTGCATTAGCTTAAGTTAATGCGTATTAAGGTGTGCATCAACACATGCGCACCCTTAACGCATTCAAAATGACAAATTTAGATTATGTACATTTGCAGGTATGAAATTTAGGCACAAATAGTTAAAGCGCATTAATGTACATGTAGACGTGTTAAGCCAATGTGCCATAAATTTAGGCACACTTAAATGCACATGTAGACATGCCCAGTTTTGGGACTGGTAATATTAATTATATTCAATACTGGAGACGTAATCAAACTATGAAGTCTGGTACTGAATTCAGATCATACATCAAACTGCCCCTGTGCTTGTGGTTGTTTAATCTTCTTGGTTCTGATTTGAGATATTACAGAAATTGTCCTTGAACTGATTACAAACTCCCTCCCCCTCAAATCAAAACAAAAACCAAAAAAAAAAATTATCTTTACAACTAAAGTTTCTAATGTTATGTTATCTTTAGAACAACTGGGAAATGAAAAGTTTATTAGTGTACGCACAAGATATAGTAAGGACACATGAATAACTAAACATTAACCATTGCCTTTTTGTTTTTCCTGAAAAACAACAGAAAGCAAGAAGAAAACATCTTGAGGGCTAGAATGTGATTGTAACAGATCATTTTTCTTTTGATTTCCTTAGAAATATTCATTGCCTTATACACCAGACAAGCCTGGCACGTGCAAAGACATAAGCACAGAGTACTATGAAGAAAGCATTAATAAATGTTGCAGCAAATGTCATCCAGGTAACAGACTTTCCATTTGAATTGATCAGGACTATCCATTCATGAATCTGTTCATGTGAGCAGACAAATGTGGTGTATCTTTAAAATTGACAGAATCTGAAGAGTCTTGCTGCCTTTATGCTCTGAGCCCCTAGATATAACTATGTTGATATTGGGACTGTAAGAAATATTTACAGCAGGGCAAGGTGCCAATTGCCAGAGCTGAAGTTGTGCTATAAAACTGAAACCTAGCAGGGGTTTACGGGATGGTTCATTAACTCGAATGGCTGACCCTTTGCATGAGTCTCAGTTCAAACTGTTTTGCAAGATTTAGCTCTTGCACCTGCTGAGTTTCAGGCTGAGTATTGATGTTTGTTGGGAGTCTTCTGTGTGAACAAGTCTGGCTTCATCTGCCAATTGTATTTTTTGCAAAAACTTTGCAGTGAAAAATATAAAAACACATTTTTATGCAAACAAAGCATATAACTAAACCACAAGAGGACCCAAGTCAGGACTAAGCACAGTAATAGCAAATATATTGGTCACACACGTGTGGGGAGGCTGCTCTGACGCACTGTAATTACAGCTTGTTAGAGCAATCGAGTCTCCTGGAATGTGCTAACTAGCGTACTCCAGCAGCCTCTGCATCTCGTACATCAGCCCCCGTATTTCAAAATGGCAGCAAGGGCACTTGATTCCTCATTCAACAAGCATTAGTTAAAACGCCCCACCACCATTTTGAAGTGTGGGGATCCTGATACACGAGACGCTGCAGGTACTTTAATTAGACCTGCTCTAATTAAAGCACTCCCCCCAGCAGGTGTAAAAACACCCTGTATGGGGTATAATGTAATTGTTATTGCTACACAAGATTACTAGTACAAAGGGTTCAATTTTAAGTAGATTGCTCAGTAAATATTCATAATGCAGTCTATTGGCTTTTTTTGCACATCATCCAGCTGTCAGACAGGGCACTGCTGTGTGTGAACCACTGGTTTGATTTACAGCGACATTTCCAGCACTCCAGTGACATTTAGTGGTAACATCTCAGTGAAAAACAGTTATTAAGCATAGAAGGGTTTTTTCCTTGATTGTCAGGGAAGAAGTCTGAATTTGTGATGGTTGTACTGGTCCATCAAATATTTTGGTTACAGTATTTGCAATAACTTTGTCATGAAATGGCAAAATGCCGAGATGGGCCACAGAACTCATTTGTAAGCCGGTGACATTTGACTCATGACATGCTGAGAAGATACACTGTCTCTGCAAATGCAAAGTTCCTGTCAGTGAGATTTGGGAGATTAAGCAGGAAACCAGCATATGCTGAAGCAGCCTAAGCTGCTCGAATTGACCAAAAATGTCAAGAAATACGTATTGGGCTTCCTGTGTTAAAAATGCACTATAAGCAAATAACATAATTCATGATTAAACTCAGTACAGGTGTTGATTATACTTCAAGACAGCCCTCATCTTATTTTGACACGTCACAATCACAATACCAGGGTCTGGGTTTGTTAATATTTGTGAATATGAATTTAAGTGTGTTTCACATTTTTGTATGAAAATGTGAGAGGCTGAGCTCTCGTCAGAATGCTGGAGAGAATTCTAAATTGCAAGTAAATATATTTAAAAACAATATGTGGAAATACTTTTTTCTCTTTCTTACCTGACTGGGCCTGCTTCATGGTTCTGCGCAAATCCTAATTCCTGAAATAGAGGTCCTCCAAATACGGGACACAGCCAGTTCTGATGATTTTTTAAGCAGTGTCTCTCTGTTCCTCTCATTGAGCAAGGTCTGCAAGTATATTCCTCTCTGGCGTGTAGAGTCTTCCTTAGTTTGTACCTTTTAAACAAGAATGAGGAGGGCTAAGCTGTGCTTGTCCTTTTCTCCCAACAGGAACATGCCTGTGCTTCTGTTTCCTCACTACCAGCCGTGTACTCAGTCATGGGATTAGAGAGCAGTGGTGGCTCTCATAGCAACCACACATTCAAGCAGCTCACCCTGCTGCATGCCTTTAAAACCTCAGAAGTTCATACACTGCTGTTCTCAGCAGGCAGAACCAGCCAACAAGGTTCAATTAGAAAGTGTAACAAGGAGAGCAGAGCACTGGGCATGGAAAAGGAGGTCTGTTAAGGTGGCATGCTGGGTTCCTGCTCACTCCTGCAATGGACCCACAGGAGCCATTCTGAGATCTAGAGCTGGACTCTGTTCACTCTTGCAGTGGACCCACAGGAGCTGGACTCTGTTCTGTCCTTTTTACTACCCTGTTAGTATCCCCCACGTGGAATAGCAAGAGTAAGCATCACTAAATCTCTAGGGCTAGCACCCATGCAGCAGTGACTGTAGGGAGAGAGGTAGGTCATCTGTTTATAACTAGCTGAACCTTTGAGAACATTTAGATTTGCACTTTAAATTTCTTGCTGTTTGGATTTAGAGTTTAAACTTGGGCTTCTTTCTAATAGTGATGCTTACTAAGCCTTCCTTACAAAGGCTGGGTCTTCATCCAGGCAAAGCATTTGTGCCCGTGCTTAACTTCACGTATGCAGGAATGTAATGTCATGTCACTTCTCAGCAAAAGGCTTAGGCATGCATGGCTTGAATCACAGTGTTTGTCTTCAAACATGTACTGAAACATATGGCTGAATCAGGGCCTTCATATTTTCTGAAAATGATTTAAGATTGTGACTAGAAGGAGGTGGTGCCAAAACATGCATTTTATATGCCAGAAATCAAAGTTTGTGCTTGGTTACATGTGTGTAACTCCAATTTAAGTAAATGACTCTTGGCTTACACGCATCTGTCAATCTGTGGTATTACGAAGATGTTTAACCAAGGTCTCCCAATGCCATAGAAAATTAATATTTTAGGACAGAATGTGATGTCTTGTGTGCTGCTGTTGTTCTATTTAGAGAATACTGTGGTCATTCTTTGCTTTTATTCTTTAATGTCTCAGTCTTGATTTTTTTTTTTTTTTTAACAGTTACGTTAACATATGAGGAAGTATGATGAAACACAATTTGTTCACAGCTGTTAATGGAACTTACCATGCACAGCTCCCAGTGAGTCATTCCCATGAGACAGTTTCATTGCTTATTTTGTAGGTTACCATATGGATCAAATCTGCAGCACCACCCTTGACACGCAGTGTAAGAAATGCGGAATGAATATGTACACAGAGGTCTGGAATCGAGCTCCACGCTGCTTTGCCTGCTCACCAGCCTGCAAAAATGGTATGCCAGTATCATTAAATAGTGTTGTTTAAATTCTGCTGGGAATGAAAGGGTTAATCTTATTTAGGCACTCAGGGTGCAATTCACCTGTATGCAGAGACTGTGCCCAAAGCCCTATACATTGACGACAGTCTTGCATAAGCTCTTTTATAAAGGTCAAAGTGGCATATGAAGTTTACACTGGGTATCTGCATAGGGACTCGGTTCATTTTTGGGGTGGGAGGGGATGTAATCCAGAAGGATTCAGTTGTTTGGAAACAGCATTTGTAGCCTGCCTCTAGATTCAGATTGGTTTAACCTCACTTTCAACTTTCTAAATTACTTTGGGGCATTTATTTTCTGTCACCTAGATGTTCCCAATGCCAGTTTTTGTTGGATGATGTTCTTAATATTCATAGTTCCCCAAATGCCATAAACACAGTGAAAGCAATTTCAGTCTTTGCCATCTTATGCAAATGAGGTACTAGTAAATTGTTAATAAGGAAAAATGGGGGCAGCCCCTTGATTACAATTTTCACCACTTGTAGGATCAATGTACTATATTAAATGGTATATTTTCCCCTCGTTACAAGGTAAGATTTATGTTTGAAATGGGGAAGTTGGAAGCATTTCAGCTTCAGGTTTCTAGCTTCAGTTCAATTGTATGTGGAAAAATCCAGGTATACATTTTGTAAATCCAAGCTGTACCTGTACAAAGAGGCAATTCTGAAAATGTGTGTGCCGGTGCACATAACTTGCTGCAAAGATCTTTTCCCTTTAAAAAGGACTATGCATACTGGTCACCTGTTGACAAAGAATTGCCATTTAACTTCCATTTGGTATCTCTGCCATCTGTGCTGTGTCTTTCATTCGTCTGTCATCTGCCTTTTGGGGACTGACATTGTAATTGTCATTAATGACACCTTGCCATCTTGTTTTAGGAACAGGATTAGTGCAGACTCGAGAATGCACTTCAACACAGGACAGAGCCTGTACTTGCTCAGCCAATATGTACTGTTCCACGAAGTTGCAGCAGAAAAGCTGCAAACATTGTAAAAGACACAAAAAATGTCAAAAAGGCTATGGAGTTTCTAAACCAGGTAAGTTAAATTTGAGTGACCAGAATTCGTAAAGAAAGAATGGGCAAGATTCTGCTTTCATACTGTTGTAAGTTGGGATTAACTTCATGCAATCAGTAGAATTATATCAGTATTGGTAGGAGGAGAGTAAAGGTCCCTGTCTGTCTTCTCCTGCATGCAGCTATAGATCTGTTTGCTTAAATATTAATTCTCTTTACTTAGCTCAGGGAGTTTTTGGAGCTGGAAGGAAGTGAATAGGCCATTGATCAATCTTCTACATTGGCCTCAGCTGCTTGGCCTGTCTGTTACTATATTATTATTATTATTATTATTATTATTGTTGTTGTTGTTTAAATCAAAAGCATTAATCAACTCCCTATTCTGTAATTTAATAAACCAGATCACAATATGACAAGAGAAAGAGCTAGCCAAAATGATCATTAAATTTGGTTCCATTACCTTGGATGTTACTTTGCTTATATAAAGTTTATCAGTAGGGATGTTTTAATGCAAAATTGATTTATTTATCATTTTGGCAGTGGTTCTTTTATTTTCTTAAACACAAGAGTCAGCCACCAAATGCCTTCATGTTGTCATAAACAGGATTTAGCGGGATCATGGTTCAACACAGTGTTAAGGCTGTGAGTATATATATTCTTCCCTCTTGGTTTACAATACTTTGCAGCCAAAGAACCCAAAGACCTTACTAGATTGTCAGGATCAGGGATACTGTGGATTCACTATAGCTGTTTTTATTCAATCCTGATTTCAGTAAGAGCTTTTCTTTAGTAAGGACTGCATAAAAATGACAAGACTGTAGTTTTGATGCAGGGATCACATTGCTCATCAACAGAAGTAACTGCGTTTTGGGTGGAGTATCTGCAAAACAAAACGTTCAGGGAAATTTTAAGGAAGGAAACTTATTATGCTGGAGATGTAAGTGGGCCAGGGCACCAGAATCAGTGCTGTATTTCTAAGACATATGTTAATGTAACTAATGCTGGGATGTAGTATCTGACTCTTGAATTTTAGGTTCACCAGCAAGTTCATAGTGGAGCTCTTTTATATCATTGTCATTGTTATTATTATTACTGTAGTTCAGTTTTAGTCTCTCATCTTGCTTTTTCATGCCATGTGCAGTACGAAGGGTCTGTTACAATCCTGTTGCCCTTTCTATAACAAGAAACTTCATTTCTGAACATTTCACTTAGTAACCAAGATTTACTTGCAGACTTTTGAATGTCAGGTTTACCTTAATTGGCCCCAGAGTGGCAATAAACATTCTGAAGTTAGAGAGAGGCATCTGAGACACAGGGTTGTGTGCAGGCTATATTTTTTTTAGGGTCACCAAATCCTGCAGTGCTTACACAGGCTGAATTCCCCTTGAACAGAATGGGAGTTTTGCCTGATTAAAGAGTAGCAAAAACTGCACAAATACCCCATTTTAACCTTACCAGCAGGTTTCACTTCAACATTTAAATCCTGTGGCTGCAAGGGGTGTAGAGATAGGAACCACTTAATGTTTCTGTCTGTAACCAGGATTCTTTCTTTCCAAGATCTGGCTGTGTGATACCTAAGTGGTTCATTTTTTCTGAGGCTGTCAGAGCCTGCATTTTTGTTCAGTCTCCATAGCATTTCCACAACTTGTATGAGCTACGTAACTTATGATTCACCTTGTTTCTTACTAAATGTCTAACTGGAATTGTTTTGTTTGTGTAAAGGAACAGACACTATGGATACTGTTTGCACTCCTTGTCCCACTGGCAGTTTTTCAGATGAAGAATCTTACACTGCCCCCTGCAGACCACATACAGTGTAAGTTGCTGACTGCTGACTTAATCTAATGACCTACAACTAGGGACTTACCTAGTTTGCGGTTTTGTGGATTTTGCAGAAACCATAAAATCCAGGGTTGCCTGCAAAATCCATGAAAATAAAACTTAATAAAACCAGTTTTTTTTTTTTTTTATTAAGTCTTCCTCTTCCTGGTGGAGCTGAAGCCTCACAGCCTGCCTGGGACGGCAAGGTGCTGGCTGGCGGGGCAGCACAAGATGGTGGCTGCGCCTCCTACTTCCTACCCTGGGGCTTCTCCGCCAGTTTGTACTGAAGGGCAGGGCTGGGCAAAGGCCAGCCAGCAGTCAAGATGGCAGCCACCCTTCATCCCTCCTCCCTTGCAGGACTTCTTTGCCAATCAGTGCTGAGGGGTGGGGCTACCATGAAATTTCTGCAAAATGGGCTTTTCTTGCCAGGACAAGGTCCCTATGTATAACTGTGTCTGGAGGTTGTTATTATTACTATTATTATTATTTTTAAATTCTCCTTTTTTCCCGTTACAGTTGTAAATCGGTGTCTATTCCAGGAAGTGGCACAAGTGATACAGTCTGCAGTGACTTTCCTACAGGTGACTTAAGTACCACCATCAAAGCAATATCTCCTTATACCACAGTTCCAGCCACCAACCAGTCTCCAGGGCAAAGCTTGAGTTTTAGGACCTCAGACATAAAAACTAGACCTGTTCAACAAAACATTCCCCCTGATGTTCCTCAGATTGGTGAGCTATTTATTCATTTCAAATTACTCTCTGTCATTGTGCCCTGCATTATGCCTGACTTTAGACTAACATGGCTAACTGTCTCTTTGTAGTTTCTTTTCTGATCATTTATGAACTTATACCTGAGTGCAAGCTCTCAGTGCTTAGAGTCAAGGACAGAAGTTACACATAAACCAGAAAAGTGTTTGGAAACCAATTCAGATCTGTAACACAACAGAAGTTCAGTGCACATAAACTGCTTTCAAAATGGTTGAAACTGGTTTAAGAGAAACCTGGATGGATGTAGTATCAGACTTAACTGATTTAGGTTAAATTGGTTTATTGAACTTCTGTCCCAGATCCTCCCAGATTCAAGTCTGGAGTCCCCCAGCATACCAGGATGCTTTGCACCTCTCCTGCAACCTCTGTCTCCTAGGGTGGACAGGGTAGGTTTGGCTCAAGCTTTCTGCTTCAGCCAACCAGGGAGGTGTGCTCTAGCGCCCCCTGGCTTCTAGCCTGAGCCACTGAAGTCATGTGGCTGGATTTTCGGGATCAAAAGTGATTGTCTGTTCACTTGATTATCAGTTCAGTCTGCGCATTTTAGACTAACCTGCAAAGACTGAATTGATTCAGCCTTGGGCTTTTTGACTACCTGTACTTAGCCAGTTTGACCAGGCTTGCTGAGACTGGTTTGTACATTCCCTCCAAATTGTTTACTCTGCCCTAGTGATACCACCTCCCTCATGAACCTGGCAAACTTCCTGATGGATTCAGTGCAAGGTTATCTATTGTGTCTCCTGGAAGATGCAGCCCAGAAGGAGAAAATGTTAAGCTAGACTACCTAGATAATGGTCTACAAGACCTAAAAGTAGGCCTTGATTTAAATCTCCTGAAAGGTGTTCTAATTTCTATACTGTTTCCCAGGATGACTACAAGAAGCCTAGAATCCCCACGATATTGAACATGCAGGAATGCTGTCTATCATAGGTGATGTGTAGGGAGGGCACATGCCCCCCCTGAGAGCAATGATGCCCCCCTGACAGCAAGCGCTCTGACTGGTGGGGCTTGGAGAGCGTCAGTGTCCCACCTGAAACTGGCTCCACCAGCAGGGCGTTGATGGCGGAAGTCCTGGCACTTCCACCGTGCCACATGCAGAAGTGTTGGCACTTCCACTGCCTTGCCGCTGGTGCGCTCGGTGAATGGCCACTGGGGAACCTCCCCCAGTTGCCGGCTGGCCACTGAGGGACCCCCTCCCAAGTTGTGCCCTGCTGGTGCCCCCCCAGACTCGGGAGGCACCAGACACCCATGCTGTCTCTCATTCCTGCTATGGTATTTTTCTGAGACCTGTGTGTTAAGGATATAGCAAAGAATTCCAGATGTTCTGCTGTTCCCATACCTCAGGAATTCTCTTTCTAGGACCTCTGTGTTTAACAATCCTAAACCGGCACCTCATGTTAAACTTAGACATACAACTGTTCTCTAACATGTTTAACTCCTATAGCAAAGACATATATGGAAAGTACTAGGGCTGTGCGAAGCTTTGGTCCCTGATTCAATTCGGTGGAGATTTGGCCTGATTCGGTGGCTGAACCTCCAAATCTGTATCGAATCAGAGGACCCTTTAATGTCTCCGAATAGATTTGGAACCCTCCAAATTGATTCGGACAGATTTGGTGATTCGGACATAGACGCAGCTTTAAATGTTTTTTCTAAATACCTCTAGATAGCAGGGGCTCTGAACGCTGTGGTGCTGGGGCAGATGCAGCATCCCACAGAAGCTTGGGGGGAGCTCCCCAGCGTGTTTGACAGCAGACTCGGAAGCGTACCAGAAGCACTTCCGGTTCACTTCCAGGTCTGCTGAAGAGCACGCAGGGGGTCCCCCCCCCCACTCTCCCCTGGCTCGGCAACTGATGCCTCCTGAGTCTGGGGGGGCACTCGGGGTCCCCCCATGGCTAATCGCTGAGCCTGGGAGGCATGGGGGGGCATGCCCAGTGTGCTCCCTGGCAGACGCGGAAATGGACTGGGAGTACTTCTTGTCCACTTCCAGGATTGCTGGTGAGCACTCTGAAGAGTCCCCTGTGCTCCTGTGGGATGCTGTATGTGCCCCAGCACCACAGTGATCATGAACTGTGCCTGCTACCTCAAGGTATGTAGCAAAAATTTTTAAAGCTGTGCCTGTGTCCAAATCTCTGATTCACTGAATCGGCATTGAATCTTCAGATTCAGATTCGGTCAAATCAAATCAAATCAGGGACAGTGGTCCGAATCAACAGATCGAATCACTGTCTCTGATTTGGGCTGAATCCGAATCAAATAGGGCCTGTTTCGCACTGCCCTAGAAAGTACTTGTTACAACCTACCTACCTAACTACCTATTTCTCTTATTTTCTTTAGGTGTAACAGTAGGAATGACGTCTCTAGCATTTGTGGCAATTGCAGTGGCCTTCTTTTGTTTTGCTTTTAAAAAAAGAGGTGAGCCTCAAGGCAGTAGGGTGGGGGAAGACAAAGTAACTGAACTTCCAGTTAGATTTGGTCCTCAAACAAATCCTGATCTTCTGTCCAAAGTACTCCATAGGTGTTTGGGATAAAGTTCATGCTGAGCAGAGAGCCAGTGTGGAGCCTGGGCTGTGCCCCACTTAAATCTCACTTTATCCCTCAGATTTCAGACATGGCCCAAGAAGTAAGAAACATCCCAGGGAAATCAAGCATCTGTGCAACACACACTCCCCATGCTTCGTAGCCCTTCTTAATGTGAAGACAAACCATTATTATTGTATTGATTTTATTTATCATGATCAGGATTGAGGTTATTATTGGAATCCTATATTCTTTGGACCCTATTCCAGAGAAGCTTCATTGCTTAGCTTAATTAATACATCAGAATCTTTGTGGAACCAAGAGTGATGATTATTTGTTAAAATGCAATCCAAGACACTAACTTTTTCCTTTCTTGCTTGCAGGCCAAATGTGTTCTCACGTAGTCGGAGATACAAATTTAGTGAGTATCACTTTCTTCATCCTTCTCCCCATGTTGTTAAACAATGTTTGGTAAGTCACATTTGTCATTAATGAGGAGAGTGTAAGGAAAAATAAGAGGCACAAATCGTAACTGTGGAAACATGGGGCTGAATTGGCCCTCTGATCAAATTAGTGTTCAGTGGGCACATTTACACTTGCTATTAATGCACAGCAATAAACTTTGATGCGTATTGTGCCAGAGTTTATTGCTCCTGGGCTTACATGTGTGCCCCGGACCACAGCATGTGGAGCTGGGTCAAAGGGGGCCCAGGGCTGCTCTGACCCAGCTCACCGTGCCACAGAGAGGCTGGCTGGGGTGCAAGGGTGCTCCAGTATAGTGCTGGTTGGCATGCAGCCCCCACACTGAAACACCCCTGTGCCCCAGCCAGCCCCGTTGGCATCTACATGTGCATTTTTGCACAGTAAAAAAACTCTGCCATAGGATAGTGCTTGTATTTACAAGTACTAACCTATGGTGGAGTGAATTTGTTTACACCATCCTAATAGCACTGCATGTGTAGCTGCTGAGATATTTACTGCAGAGCTAATTAGGCAACTCTGCATTAAACATCTGTAGATATGCCCAGTATACACCAGATTAGAGCTCAATATGCACCAGCTTGTAAGGGAACCCTAAGAGTCATCATTTATACTGTATGGAGATCACTGATGACTTCCTGAAACACCTAAATACAGACTTATGATGTAATGGATTGGATTCTCTTTTGTACATTACTGTAGCTCCATTTATTTAAATGGAATCACAACAATCTAAAACAGCTGGGAATCTGAACCTAGCAGTGGGGAGAGCCCTTTGCTTTATTTCAACCTGTTGCCATGCTTTCTTGTTGAAGTTTCTAATAGTTTGACCTGCCATTTTACCAAACAATATTCCAGCCTTTTTCCATGGAGAAACAATCTGACAAAAAGCAACGAGGCTTAGGAGTACAGGGATCCAGTAGCCCTGGGCCGGAGGAGCAACATCTCTTACACACTTCTGGGTCAAGCAGCAGCTCTTTGGACAACCCGACCGGGTCAGCAAAAATCTGTACCAATAGTAATAAAAAGGTTGAAAAGAAAGACACTCAGCAGAGAAATTTGCTGTCAGAAAGCTGTAAGCATCACGATGAAGACAGAGACAACTCTGCCAGCTCAGGTGAGATTCTATCTGGAGGTGAATACCCAAGTACTCTACAGTCCCTTGGTATTTAATTATTGATGATTGTTATTTCTTTAACATAAAGGATGCCATAAATTGAAATGGAATAAGACACAAGATAGAAGTTCAGAGCAAGCATTATGTGGGGGCTGTTGATGAGAAAAGGGGGAGAGTGACTGCTTGAAGAAGTGGGATTGCAAGGTTAGCAGAAAAGAAGATGGACAGATGTGAATGTAGTATTCCTAGCAAAGGGGCCAGCATCATTGTAGGTACCAAGCTGAATGTGGGAGGAGGCAAAGCGAGTAGTGAAGCGAAGCAACTGGGGAGAGCTTTGAGGAATGGGATGTAGAGGAAGAGGAAAAAGCAAGCAAACATTGAGTATACCGAAAGCAATCTTGGTACCGTATTGGTTTAACTAAAAGCTGCACTTTCTAAGTAAAAGCATTTCTTTTTAAAATAGCCTGCATCTTGAATTGGAGTAAAAACAAAAATAAAAAGCTCTTATGTACACCATTTTGTAAATCCATACTTTTATTTGGATTTTTGGTGTTTCCCTAAAATAGGAAGCAAAAATATGTAGGTCCATCTTAAATTCAGAGACATCTTATATTTAAAGAATGCAGTATGTATATTCAGGAAATTAATTTTTTTAGTGTATAACCCTGGCTTGATTTATTTACACACGCACCCACACCAAAAGCATATCTTAGAAGAACATTAAGATGGAAAATTCAAGCACATGCTGTAGGAAAAGCCAGAAGTAAGGCTGTTCATTCAGAATTAAGATTTCTTTAATATTGTTTTAGATAACTGAATTAGCTGAAAAATTTTCCCCAGGAAATTTCGGCATTGGGCAGACAGCAAATTTCAGCCCAAACAGTTAAAATAGGCAAGGTTTTATAAGCAACTGAAAAGAAGTTATTAAACTGGATTATTTTAAATACAACCATTTCTTGGTAAAGTGAGAATAGTAAGATCAGTTATCTCTTATTTATATTAATTAATCTTTTTTTTTTTTTTTTTTTTTTTAAAACATTGAACTAGTTAAAGAATCAAGTCATCCTGCTGTAGGTTTCATTGTCCACTTTTTTGTTCCCTTTTTGTTTGATAGAACACTCTGGTAATGGAGGGACCCAAGTGAATGTAACTTGTATTGTTAAAGTGTGTAATTCCGACCACAGTTCACAGTTCTTGGATCAGATGAGTTCAAACACCGTGGATCATGAAAACATTTCCAACTGTACTCCAACAGGGGAAACAATTCCCCTTTCAAAAGAAGAGAACCCTTTGAAAAGAGAGACTGAAATTCAACTCTCAGTGGAAGCTGAGGATAATTTACTTGAAGACTTAATGTTTCCAGAAGAAAAACAATTTCCCTTGGGTATTCAGGATGTGGGGATGAAAAGTGGTTAAAAAGGATGGTGACTGATAAACTCTATATGCAGCTTTTAATCTGGTAAAATAAATGTTATGTGAAATGTAGCATTTTTAAAGAGATTTAAAATCTCATGTATAGATGGGGTAAGAGTTTGAAAAATGCTTTAACCTCTGATACATGACAGATTCAAGTACTGAAGAAGAATTTTTTACAAAAGCCAGTGTTTATTTTTTTTTTAAAGCTTTTGTGCAAGCTTTTTTCCTGTCATCCTTTGCCAGGAGTATTCACCCTTAGCCTTTGCTAGGGTTGAAAGAAAGTAGATTCTGTCTTCATGTAATTGACTTTTCTGCTGAGACTCTGTGTGATGGGGCTAATTAATACTCTTTACAGAAGTATAATTTGATTCAGACATCCCATCAGCATTTCATGAGAAACAAGTTGGTGACCAGCTATCAAGTGTTACTGACTTAGTCGTATGTTTTTAATTTTAAAATCATTGTACTCAATTACATCATTTCTTATCCCACCACACACTAAAATATGTAGTTTTTGGAAGGACGTGCACTTCAGATCTTTCTTTTAGTCCTCTATATTTTTTAGTTGTAGTTGGGTTTTCTCTGTCTTGCAGCATCATGACACATCTTTAGTCTCAGACTTCTGTGGATTGCCAGGCAATTTTTTTATATGAGCTTTTATATAAGACTACAAGTATTTAGTTTACTTCGACAACAAAAAGAAATGTACTTATTACATCAGTTGTACATAGTTTATATTCTGTTATTTTACAAAAAAAATATAAAGTAGAACTCATGACTGAAGCAGGTAATTGTTCATTTAATTATCATTTCCAAGTGTTGCCACCTTTGTGCTGTGGCCAGTTTAATGCGGCCTTCTGGTTGAAACTGACCTCAAGGAATAAGGAAGATGTATTTGACAGATACTTTTTTCTATTTTCCAAATAGTAGTAGTAGTAGTGATCTAGGCAACTTAATAGCACAAATGGCTCATTTTGGAGGCCCTCAGGGAAAAGATTCTCAACCAGCAATTGAATAAGAATATACTATGAAGGGCTGAATTGACTTGAACGACAGAATAAGGTCTCTTAGTGGTCGGTCTACAAAAAAGGTTATATTCCTGGAAGACCCATAATGGAGAATGTCCTTTTAAACCCGGTGGCAGAAGTCTGTGCTTTTTCGAGTTTTGTGCCTGGGATTGCAGTTGCTGTCATCATGTTAAACCCGCAACTCTGTTGTCTGTATTGGATAGAAACCTGTCGTAGAGTGCCTGAGTGCCTCAGCCTGAATGTCAGACAGCAGCGCCAGTTCTGCCTTCCTCAGACATGTCCAAACCCATTGGAATTGTTTAAGTGTAACTGAATGCCAAATATTTTTCTGAGGCCTTAGACTGAAGAAGGAGGCCTTGAAGTAGTATTCATCTTATCCTGGCTGTAGACATGCAGATATTACAAATGTAAATTTATATGTTCACCCGAACTTTCAGGGTTATCTGTGTGGCTGCGGAGATGCTGAGAGGTGAAGTATTGAACTGCATTTTACACTTACATCTAAGACTATGCTCAGAATAGACTCTAAGAAATGGAAACACTGAAATTAGTTCAAAACTGCAAAATACACACAAGCCAAAGATCTCATTGTATGTGGTGCAGAATGCCTCCTTTAATGTGTTGAATGTCTTTTATCTGTTGCTCATCATTTCTCAGGAGACCATGATGAAAACATAGCTCAAAGATTTTTAAATGTGATTTGGGGGGGAGTGGGAGGGGGAACAGGAGGGGAGTGAGAGGGAGAAATCTTGGCATGCCAGTTAATCTACTGTGCCATTTGTATTCTGGGGCTGAAGGAAAATCCAGATTTTGTATCTAAGTACTGATGTCAAAGCAGTTTTTTAAATATGTTTGTATAATTTTTCTAAAAGGTCTAAATGTTTATTTTTATAATTACTTGTGACTTGAACTCTCTTGTCCTTTGCATTGAACAAAATGTTTTTACATTTTCTTTGGAGTTTTATGTTTGTTTGCTTGTTTGTTTGTTACTTTAGAGGGACATTGTTTAATTCTGTTTGCATACTTTTTGTATCCGAAACCATTACCTTTTGGTTTTTACTTGTTATTGTAATGTGATTAAAGGGAGTTTGGTCATGATCAGTCTCTAGCATTTTCTTAATTGAGCTGCTCATTTACTGTAGTTCTATGTGCAATTCAAGGGGATTGGCTTTAGTTGAGTAAAGCTGTGATCTTGCAAGCTAGTTTGGGTGCATTCTCGTGCCCATCTGACTCATAGATTCATAGACTGTAAGGCTGGAAGGGACCTTGGGAGATTGGGTTCATGCTCTGCAACAAGCAGGAAAGACAACTGGGGGTCAGGTGACCCCAGCAAGGTGACTGTCTAGTCTCCTGTTGAAGACTGATGTTAGTGATCGACTGTGATCTACCTAAAATTGTAACTTTCCTGGCCCACCAGTGGTGCAGTGGATTACTCTCATAAGGCTCACTTCTGCAAAGTGCTTAACAATTGGGCTTATTCCATGTAAGTACTTGACTACCAGCTGAACTTGCCTATGAGTATCTTGCTGAAAAATCAATGAAAGCCTTTATCCTAAGTGCCTTCACTTTACTGTAAGTGTCTTTACTATTCATGCCATCCAGGAAGAACACCACGCACTAACTGCAGATGCTCCCTCAGCCTGACAAAGGGTATTCACACACGAAAGCTTGCTAAGAATTTTCCCAACTATTTGAGTTGGTTTAATAAACAATATACGATTTACCCAAAGAACCTGGTTTACCTTTGTCATAAGTGGGCATTGAATCATGCCCGCAGTGTATATACTTGGGGGATGAGCAAGAAGAGAAACATCATTTTAGCATGAAAACATGAGCACATCTTCAACCCTGGTATAAATGGGTTTTTCTTTCTCCTGATGACACTGAAGGAGGGACTCAAGCAGGTCTCTTACTCGGCCCCTTTCAACCCGGCTCAAGTATAATTTGGGTTTTGCCTTTTCCTGACAATGCCCAAGGACGGACTCAAGTAAGTGTCTCGCCCGGGCCCCCTTCAACCCTGATCAGGTATCAATGGCTTTTGCCTTTTCTTGACAAAACACACACGGGGGCTCAAGCAGGTCTTGCGGTGTCGCCGGGCTCACAGCCGTTATCAAATAAGGCGCAACCGATGGGGCGAAGCAGGTGGCCTGGGAGGGCTGAACCCCACCGCCTCCAGCCCATGAAAACATGCCTGACGAGCCACGTGGGGACCCTCCTTGTCCCCCAGGCTGGTTGCTTTGACCCCCCTAAAACAGAGGGGCATCGAAGCAGGTTGCTGCGTGTCCTGCCAAGGCGGCAGCCGCCCTCGGCCTGAGGCACCAGTGACCTTGTGCCTGTCCGCGGGTAATTGATGCTCCCTCCCAGCGCCTGCTGGGAAACGCTCGGCCGGCAGGCGTCGCCCATCGATGCCTCGGCGCTCCCCATCCATCAGCTGGTGCTCGATTGGCGCGGGCTGGGCGCGGCCTTGCTGCCCCGAGCGCCATTGAGGCGGCGGCGGCGGCGCGAGCGCAGGTACCGGCGGCCGCAGCAACTGTCCCTCCCCTCCCCCCGCTCGGGGTGCCGCGACCCCCGCATGATCAGGGAGGTGGGCCCCTGGGAGACCTGTCCGGGGCAGGCCGGGCTCCGGGCCCAACGAAGGCCCGCCCGCCCCTGTCCAAATGGAGCTGGACGGGTCGTCCTTTTGCCCCGGCCTGACTGGATGGCAGCCCGGGAGCGGGGCGCGAGAAGGCAGGGAAGGGTCCCTTTAAAAATGGAGCCACAGACTTTGTAAGCGCAGGTTGTGCTTTCAAAAAGGAAAACGTGGGAAAGTGGCGTTTTTTTCGCCGGCGGGTTGGGGCCTCTCGTGGCCCGCACGCACCCCCCACACGCTGGGGGGCCACTAGGTCAGGGCTGTTTACAAATGGAGTTTGAAGCGAGAGTAATCTGTGGAAATGCCTGGAAGCGAAACTTCCCAAATGTGACCTTGTTAACATATGTGCCTTTGAAGTGCTGCCGTGTTAAAGTTAGGGGTGCATCGATAAAGATTTTTTGGGGGCTGATAGTGCTGGCCGGTTATTGACCGGCCGTATCGGCTGATACTGAATCGGTTGCCAGTCCGCAGCGAGGAGAGCAGCATCTGGCCGGTAGGTCTGTGGGAGGGAGGGGTGCATGGGGGGCAGGTCAAGGGCCCTGTGGTGAAGGAGCGTGTTGGACAGGTGCAGGTGCTGCACAGGTGAGGCAGGGTGGGGCAGGACTTGTTTGGGGGGCGCAGCTCCTGCCACTGCATGCACCCCTGGGTGAGGCATGGGGGGCATGTGCCCCCTGGATCTATGTGGGAGGTGAGGATGGGCTGGTGCTGCATGCTCAGGTTCAGAGGCTGCGCTGGCCTCTTCCTGACCTGGGTGGGCTGGACCAGCACTGTACTCGGGGTGGGGTGGGCAGTGGCGGTGGGAGGAAGGACTACGGGGTGGGGAGGCTGTAGCTGCCCCGAGATTTACCATATCCTTCCCATGGCTCCCCCTCCCAGTGCCACCACTGCTTGCCCCACCCCATCCAGCCCGAGCGCAGTTGCTGGGAAGAGCCCGACCTGCACCCTTGCCCCACACACAGATAAAGGGGGCATGTGTCCCCCGTGCCTCCCCTAGTGGTGCATGCAGCAGTGGGAGTTGCCCACCCCCTGCTCTGCTCCTCCACACCCACTGGACAAGCTGTGGCTGTCCCACGCCCCACCCTGGCTGTGCAGTATCTGCCCCAGCCCCACTCCCTCCATCACTGCAGGGGCCTCAATCTGCCTTCCCTATGCCCCTTCCTGTTACCCCCACCAAGTTTACTGGCTGGACACTGCTCTTCAAGCTGCCGGCCTGCACTCCTGGCCACGTGCATGCTGCAGCTGCATGTGTGCACGCAGCATTGATCAGCGACGTTATCGGCCACATCAGTCAAAATAAAAAGCGGATTGCCAGTGATGTTATTTTTTCCTTTTATGGGTTTTGATACCATATGGACCAGTGCATCGGTGCACCTCTACTTAAAACCTATATATAAAATAAAATAATGAGGAGAGATAAATAAGAAAACTTAAAACAAAGTAACTGGGTTTGCCAGTGTTTTAGAAGAGGGCTGCAAAGAAATGGAATTAAGGGCTGTGGCCTGGAAGCTGGCAGTACCGGTTTCCGGCAATGTGTACTGGCAGCTCAGCACGCCTGTGAGGCAACTTTTTCTTTATAAGTGTGGTTATGTGTTTACAGAACTTAAGACAAATGAATAAATGCAATAGGAGTAGCTAGTCTGGGGGGTGCATAGTACAAATAGCATGAGCTGGTGTGTGGCAGCTAAAGGAGGAAGCCTAAAAAAGAGCGGCAGATGGGGCAGGCAGCACAGGCCTGGAAGTGGAAAGCAGAGCAACAGAATGGCTGGGGGAAAGAGATCAGAGTGGCTTTCAGGGAGAGTACAGGGCTTGTTTGTGACACGCCCTTGTTGTTACACGTCAGAAAGGTTGCCTCCCGCTGAAATACAACATAAAATTGTGACCAGACTAATAAAAAGTCTGTAGTGTATCAACTAAGATGCCCTGAATTTTCATAGGTAGACTATATACAATACTAAGCCCCTAGAAAAAGCACAGAGAAAAACACCTGCTTTACAGACGGAGCCTTTTGGTGGGAGTTGGTATCTTTTATTAGACCAACTTGGATGTTTCTAGCTAGAAACATCACCCCGCCTCCAAGTTGGTCTAATAAAAGATACCAACTCCCACCAAAAGGCTCTGGCTATCATGTAGCCCCAGACAAATATAGCTGACCCCAAAAGAAAACTCCCATGCTTTACAGAGGTATTCTGTGCCCAAGGTGAAGCAAAAGTGAAGATGAAACTCTCCCAGTGTTTCCTGTCCTTGGGCTAAATTGTTTCCTACAAGAGCAAGCATTTTCACTCAAGTGAAATATCAAGTGCATTTTTTCTTTTAGGGAGTTTACTTTTCATATCAAAGTCTAGAGGTTTGATTCTGTCTCTTTCCAAGAGCCTGCTCTGTATATTTTCTGAGAACCGTACAACTTCTGTTGCATTTCAGTCTTTCCACAGAGCAGTGCTGTGAAGGACACTTGGCTGTTGCTTTGGGAATGTTGTTCAGTGGGGAGTTACAAGAGTGGAGAAGGGACAACAACCAATATTGGCTAAATCAGCATTAAAATGAACAAATACAAATACAGCAAAAGCCATGTTTTCTGGCACTTTACCCACTGGAAAGCTCCACTAGCCAGCATCTGTCAGTCTTCTGAGGAATGAGGCAAAAGCAAAACCAGAAGTAGGACTCAGCCGCCACGAGCTGAGTCCCACTTGCTGTGATTCTTTCTTGTGAACCATGGCTTGGGGCAAAGCAGCCTGCTTGGGGCCCCACTTCCTGTCCCCTGGCACACTGATACGGACACATAGTGCACTGGCACACTGACACGGTTAATTTGATTAACCGGCATATTTGAATAATTGGCATCTCTCATTCCAAGGGGGATACTGGATAACAGAGCTTTTGCTGTAGTATGTGAATGTGCACTCGGACAACTTTAGCAGAGATGCTGTGAAGTAGACATACAGGTTGTGGGGAGGACAGTGCCATAGAGAAGGCCATTTTCTGCTGCATATTTTCCAAAAGTGATGCGTTTAAAACTTGCAGAGTAGCTGTGGGTAGGCTTCCTGGGGTGTTTGAAGAGGCTGAAGGGGGATAGCAGGTTTACCTTAATTCAACTTACCCTGTGTAATTAGTCTCGTCCATCCTTGAAGACAGAGAGAGCATTGTGGTACACTCTCAGTTAGTGCTTCAGAATAAATTTGTGAAAGAATGAAGCATGAAAAGATGAATTTCCATGTTTTGTTTTGTTTTCCTCTTACTACTGTTTAGGAGGACAAGAATGAATGCTTAGTGCTTTCTTATATTCAGAGCATTATATAAACATCACTGAGGAAGAGTTTGAAAACTTTGGTTAGTGCAGTCTCTTGCGATGAAAATTATGTTAGGTGAGGTGGTATTATGGGAGTTCATAAAACCAATGCACAGGGGACCTTCAATGTATATACTGTGATCTGGGACTAAAAGGAGAATTGAAATAGATATGCAGAGCAGTGTTAGGGTTTTGTTTTTTTTTTTTTTTAAAGCACGTATGCTAGGAAGGCATTATGCTTCATATTAATTTTTCAGTGACTGGACTGAAGAACAACTTATATGGAATTGTTACAATTTCTCTGTGTTAAGAAATGGTATTGTATGTTCCTGACACATCCACTTTTCTTTCAGACAGAATACAAGCAGTAACTATGGAAAAGAGAAATACAGAATGACAATAGAGTATTAAGCTACGCTTTCCAAGGGCATAGTCATGTTGGAAGGACTGGTTGCCTGGGTCCTTAACACTTATTTGGGCAAATATGTCAATAACCTGAACACAGACCAGCTCTCAGTAGCTCTTCTAAAAGGTAGGTTTTATTAGCCTTGTGTTTTATTTTGCACTATGGTACATTTTGTAGAGGTGCACTGATAAGGATTTTTTTGGCTGACACCAATGGCTGATCAGCCATATCAGCCAATACCAATCCAAGAGCCGATCTGCTGCCAGCAGCTTGGAGAGCAGCGTCCAGCTGGTAAGGGGGGAAGTGGTGTGGGGGATGCAGATTGAGGCCTTCACAGTGGAAGTGAAAGAAATATATTTGA